GGCAGTGGGCAGGTACTGGGTGGTACTGGGGGCAGCAAATGGCAAGTGCCCATCGCCAGCAACGCCACTGTGCCCTGCTCTGGCCCCTCTGCCTGCAAAGCCCCAACATCCCCCAAGGGCATCGTGCGCCCTTGGGTGCCCGCAGGTGCCCCTGGTGCTCCCCAGCCACAGGCACTGCCACCAGGTCCCAGAGATGGCTGCTCCCTCCCCAGGGCACAGGGCTGCCAGTAATTAGAGGGGGTACAGGAGAGATGGGGAGGGGCTCTTTACCAGGGGGTGGAGGTATAGGATGAGGGGTAACAGTTTTAAGCTGAAAGAGGGGAGATTTAGATGAGATATTAGGAAGAAATGTTTCCCTGTGCAGGTGGTGAGTCAGTGGCCCAGGTTGCCCAGAGAAGCTGTGGATGCCCCATCCCTGGAGGGGTTCAAGGCCAGGCTGGATGAGGCTTTGAGCAACCTGGGCTAGTGGGAGGTGTCCCTGCCCATGGCAGGGGGTGGGACTGGATGATCTCTAAGGTCCCTTCCAACCCAAACTGTTCTGTGATTCTGTGATTCTATGGCTGACAGATTTTGGCACACGGTCAAAAAAGTGGAAGCTGCAGATTTGTCTCCTGCAGCGTCAGCCCTTCGTGGGAGTCGGCGTTGGGGCACCACGCAGTGCACAGCCATTGTGGTGGGGATGAAATGAGGGTGCTCAGAGCACCGATGGATGCAAGCACCACGGCGGAGCCTTTCCCAGCCTCCCACACCAGCAGCTCCAGGCTTTGCTTTCCTGAGCTGCACAACTTCTCTGAGCTTGCTATTGAGGCTTGGGAGCTTGCTTATGACTCACCCAGCCCTGCAAGAGGCTGGTGCAAGAGTTACTCTCCTCTTTAGCAAGCTGGGTTTGCTTTCTGGGTTTGCCTTATTGCAGGCACGAGGCTGTGGCGGTGGCGGGGGGTGGCCCTGTCACACATCACGGATGCTGCAGCCAACACCGGTGGGCACGCAGCTCATGCCGTACCTTGGAAACCCAAACCTGCTCCTGGCTCTGTGCTCTCTGATCGCAACCGTGTCACCTTGTCCCCTGGGCTGGGTTAGTGGGAGGGGGGAAAAAAAAGAGCCACCTGCTGTGCATCCATTCCCCCCTCCCCGGCTATTTCCAGGGCAGCCCCAGCCCACAGTCCCCCCCTGAGGCACAGGGCTCTGCCCTGGGAGGGGGAGAGCCCCGACCACACATCAAAAATGCGCTCCAGAGACCTGGAACCGTTCAGCCGGTGGGTATTTATAGATATTCAGTTATCAAAACTAAGCGAGCAAGTGTCTGTCCTCATTAAAATCTTCAGCCTCACTCAGCTGTCACATTTTTAAAGCTGTTGACTGATGCAGCCCTCGGGTCACCATGGCAACGGGATGCAGTACCCAGGCGGTGATGCTCTTACTCTGTCACCCCTAGAGTGACCCACTTCTACCCCCCAAAAAAAAAAAAAGTTTGCATTAGAAAAAAAAACCAACCTTCCAGCAGAATATTTTTCTTGTCTCCTGCCACACTTGCTTCCTGCCCTGCCACAGGCGTGAGGAGCCCACAGATCAAACCAGGAGACGGCATAGATTCCCTGCCACAGGCGTGAGGAGCCCACAGATCAAACCAGGAGATGGCATAGAGGGGGAGACACCCCGACGGCTCTACAAATGTTGGGGGAGAGGGACCCCACAGCACCCCACTGCTGTCCTATACTCTGGCAGGGGGCTGTCTTGCAGCACCCACAAGCTCTGGGGATGGTCTCTGCTGCTGAATTGGGTGCTGGCCTCTTGGAAAATCCCCAGGGTACCATCACATCTGTCACAAAACCTTCTCAGGTCTGGGATTTTGCCAGAGAGGGATGCAGGAGAGTAGTTGTTCCCCCAAATCCTGAGCCCACAGGAAGCGGGGTGTTTGCTTTAGCCACCCCCAAGCAGCGGATGGGAGGGAGAGATGAGGATGAAGCCAGGGTGGGGGTCCCAGGGGCTGGGCTGTGCAGGGGTCTGGGCAGAGAGGGGCAGCCCCACACCTCGAGCCACCCCCACCTGCCCCCCAGAGCTCTCTCATCGCCCCACCGCCACCTCCTGAATGTCCAAACCCCATTTTCCTTCGCCTGGCTCCAGTCTCCTACACCCGCCCCAGCCCCTCGGCGCATCCCTACCTCTCCCTGGGAATATTTCAAGAGAAAAGGGGGGAGTTGGGGCGGGGGGGGAAGCGGTGACAGTGAAGTTCTCATGGGGGATTATTGGTGTATAATTGAGCAATATCCATGGTAACAAGCAAATCTGCACGCATTAAAAAATTAACCTGACCTACTTCGGGAAATACTGCCGTCTCGCCAGGGCAGCATGGGCTCTTCTTCCCCCCGAGACCTGACCTGCCAGCCCCCCACCCTGGGCCAGAGCCCCCAGACAGCCCCAGTGCTCCCAGGGACAGGACAAGCAGGTTTTGTGCAAGGGGTGATGTCCCATGTCCCCTCCAGCGGGACCCCCGCCAGCAAGCAGCGGTGCCCAGCCCATGCCCACCAGGATGGAGTGGGGTCCCTGGGACAAGACCCATGGCACAGGGGCCATCAGGGTGGTGGCTCTGCTGGGACAAGAGGGACTGAATCGCCAGGTCACAGCATGGCAAGGAGATGTGGCAGG